TGCCTGGGTTCGCGACATCATTGAAAAAGACCTCAAACAAACACCTGCGCCGGGTGGCGTCGCTCTGGAGTTTGAGACCATTGACCTCGGCGCCCTCGGCCTCCCGCTTCTGGACGAGCCGGGTATCCCTGCCCATATCGGCACCGCCGAAGGCTACACCCACGAGCACACCCGCGCCTGGTCGCGCCAGGTCGCAGCCTTGGACGGCTTTGTTTTTGTCACCGCGCAGCACAACTGGGGCATCCCCGCGGGCCTCAAGAATGCGATTGACTATCTGTACAACGAGTGGCGGGGGAAGCCGTTTATGGTGGTGACGTACGGCGGCCACGGCGGCGTCCATGCGGCGGCGGCGCTGCAGCTGGTGCTCGGCGGCGGCCTCAAGATGCTGGCCCTGAAGGAAACCGTGAACCTGACGTACCCGGGCAAGGACGTGTTTGATAAGTGCGCCCGGGGCCAGCCGCTGGGTCTTCCGCCGGCAGGTACGGCTACGATTTGGCAGGATCGACAGGAGGACATTGCCAAGACGTGGCGCGAGTTGGCTGCCTCGTTGGCGACAAAGGCCGAGAAGGCTACGTGAAGGACGGCGGGTGCACATTCTCTCATATTGTCAGCGATTCGGGAAGAGCTTGTCTCTGTGGGTAATAGAAGAATGACAGCAGCAGGCGAGAGCGATCAGACAAGATAGTAATATGTACCACTATATGCTTTTGCCATCAGATATAATGAAAATTGTCAATGCTAGTAGGATGGCCGTCCAATTCGTCTGAAATCGGCCGTCGGGCGGACCAATTTGGAAGAACCTAATTGGCCAACATTTTCGGGTAGACCGAAATGTTAGTAATATTTGATGAGACGAACAGTTGGAGTGGGTGTAGGTGGTTTGTCATTTTTGTGCTGACTGGTGGTGGCTGTTCCGCCGCTACGTCGGCGGAAGTGAGTGAGGGCTTGCCATCCGTTTCAGTACAGCCCTTGGCTTGTCCGCACTCGTCCGCACTTACATACATTGACAAGAGAATGTCTTTATGATTCTAGCTCGTTTTGATATTGTTTATCCTCTGTTTTGTGATTGCTAATTCTTGGCGTCTTCGTTCGCTCGATTGATCTGAGAGGAATCTGTATGGAAACGGGTAGAGCATGAAGCTCGATTCGCTTGGAAATCAATGTATCTACCATGAGAGACGTGGCAGAAGAAAGGTACACAATGAATATGCAACAGGGAGAAAGGACGAATCGTCCGAGCCACTGCGTATATAAGACGTAGATGTCGTCGTTGTCCAGCTGGTTCTAGTCATCTCAACAACAAGCACAAACTGAATGCGAAGACACTCCTCAAAACCTCAACTTCAAGACAAACAACTCTCATTTAATCACTATGCCTCGCCTTTCTGGGAAGACCGCGGTTATCACGGGTGGTGCCACCGGCATCGGGTTTGCCACCGCCCAACGCTTCGTCGAAGAGGGTGCGTTTGTCTACATCTTTAGCCGCCGCCAGGATGTAGTCGACAAGGCCGTCAGTGCGCTGGGGTCTCAGGCTCGTGGTGTCCAGGGCTCCGTCGCCAAACTGGACGACCTCGACCGCCTCTACGCCACCATCAAGAAGGAGCGTGGCAAGCTCGACATCGTCGTGGCCAACGCCGGCACCGGCGGTCCACTCAAGCTGGGCGAGATCACTGTCGAGCACTGCGACGACACGCTGGAGACGAACATCAAGGGCACTCTGTTCACCGTCCAGAAGGCCCTGCCGCTCCTGGGCAAGGGCAGTTCCATCATTCTGACCGGATCCAGCGCGGGCACCACCGGATCGCCCAACTTCAGTCTCTACTCCGCCAGCAAGGCTGCCGTGCGCAACTTTGCGCGGACCTGGGCCGAAGATCTGATCGGTACGGGCATCCGCGTCAACGTGGTGTCGCCCGGACCCACGGCCACCGACCTGGCCAAGGCTGCTTTGGGCGAGGAGGGCCAAAAGGTCTTTGCGGACCAGAATCCACTGCGGCGCATGGCCGAGACGTCCGAGATTGCCGCTGCGGTGGCCTTTTTGGCGTCGGACGACAGCAGTTTCATGACGGCCAGTGAGGTGGCCGTGGACGGTGGGCTGGCGCAGATTTAAATTGGGCGTTGGCGAAATGGTGGACCAGGGGATACATGTTGGACCGCAGGGCAGAGCTGTTGCGAGGTATGGTGGTACGTTTGGGAAAATGTAGCTCAGGCAAGATGATCATAAGTACACGACCAGGAGAAATGTGTCATCTGCACAAAATTAGACGCTTCATTTCAGACCATAAATGCTTATATCCCAACGACGCCACACTCCAAATGATGACGTCGACCGGCGCATTCTTCCTACTGTGTCTCCAAAATCCTCACTCGTCTTCATATTCGGTACATTCGAAACCGTTTCCTCGAACCGAAATGCACATAGGCCCGTATCCTACTCCTTAGCAGCGGGCGCCTTCCAGGCCTCGTCAAACTGCACAGTGCCCTCGACCACCGGCACCCAGCCAGGCTTGCGCGACGTAAACGTCTCGCTGGCCGGCGCGAACTCGGCAAAGGCATTGTCGTCCATGACGCCCGCCTTGACCACGACGACACCGGCAAACGAGGCCGACTCGGTCCACAGCGTCGAGCTGCACTTGTTGCAGAACTTGCGCTCGACGGGGTTGCCGCTGCCGCCGGTGGCAATGTACGTCGTGGGCTCGCCGGCGACAACCTTGAAGTTGGTCCGGGGCACGACCCAATTGAGGCTGTAGGTCGACGACGTGGTCTTGTGGCAATTGCGGCAGTGGCAGAGGGCCTGGTGGAGGGGAAGAAGGAGGGGGAGAGGGGAAATAAATCAGTTCATGTCCTGCGACACTTCAACCGCCTACCCCAACTCACCACATGCGCAGGACCGCCCTGCACCTCGATCTGGACGGCGCCGCAGGAGCAGCTGCCCTTGTAGGTCTTGTCGGCCATTGAGATGTTGTTGGTGGGAAAAGTGCAGAAGCGCAAAGTGAATCAGCGTTTGTCGTGAAGTGCGCCCAGCGAGACACTTATGCACAGCCGGAAACGAAAGTTGGTCCTCTTATCGCCGCTGCTTACTGGCAAAGCGGGACAAAACGGGCCGACCGACGCAGGACAGGGGAACGCACGTGGATCCAGACCGCGCCGGAATAGGATGCCGTGGCGGGTGTGGGCAGCATATCACGGATGACAACCATAACGCGCAGAACGGGCGCCGGCAGAGTGTCGGGGCAACAATGTCTAGGGCATAGGATAGTTGTCGTAATTCAGGTTGATTTCGTTGAGGCCTGTGCATTACACCGTCCGCAGAAAAACAAGGATCGAGTCGTGACAAACACGTGACTTTAGGCATCAACGTGAGGCTTCACTACAAAGTTCTATCTGCTTTACGTTTAATAATTCCATTGTTAGGCAGAGAGACAGTTGCTTACACAGCTTGTTCTGGAATCTTGACAACAATGCGCCCCGTGACATTGTCCGTGCGGAGCTGCTCAATGATGGCCGGCGTTTCAACAAAGTCCCGGACCTCGATCGCGGGTGTGACTTTGCCACTGGCCGCCAGCTCGAGAAGTTCCTCCATCCGCTGCTCTGTGTCCACGGCAACACCCGTGACCGTCAACGACCGTGCCGAACACAGGGACGCCGACACGGGAAAGGTAAAGTCGTTGTGTGGCAGGCCAATGCTGACAATGATGCCCATGTTGCGGACCAGCCGCGGAGCTGTGCGGAACGCGTCTTCGGAGCCCGAGACGACCAGGACAGCGTGGGCGCCCTCGCCGCCGGTGATGTCATGGACGGCCTTCTCGATGTCGTCGTCAGACTGCTTGTAGTCGATGAAGTGGTGTGCGCCCGAGTCCAGACTCAGCGCGCGTTTTGCCTTGCCACTGTCGATGGCAATGACATTGTACCGTCCGGCGCGATTTGATGACGCGAGCTGCACGCCGAGATGGCCCAGACCGCCACCCGCACCCGAAATGACGACCCAGATACCGCCTTTATCGTCCTCTCCGCCGCTGGCCGGCGCCACGTGGGTGTCCACTTTGGCGAGGCCGCCCATCATGGTGAGACCGGCACACAGGAGCGGCGCGGCAGCCTCACTGGCAAGACCGGCGGGGATGCGCGTGGTGACATACCGCGCATCAGCAATGACGTACTGCTGGAGCGTGCCGGGGACGTGCTTGCCGGTGTTGCGTTGCCGCGGGCAATTGTTGGGGAACCCGCGGCGGCAGACGGAGCAGGGCTGCTCCGGTGGGTTGCCGCAGGCGCTGTAGAGCCACTTGACGCCGACGCGTCTGCCAAGGAGGGACTTTCCGAAGTCGTCGCCGGCCTTGACGACAGTGCCGATCCCCTCGTGGCCGACGATGTGATTGTAGACGCCCCAGGCGAGAAGGGCACGGATTTCCGAGCGACTGACGAGTGTTAGGAGGCGTTGCTGTCATACGGTTTCTGTTTGCTAGAGCTTACACCTACCACAGACCGGAATACTCGAGCTTCACGAGAATCTCGTTTGGGCCGGGCTCGGAAACGGGAACGTCGTCTTTGACGACGATGGTGCCCTTGGGGCCCGGGTTCTCAATCACGGCCGCCTTTTGTGTTTTGGGTATCTGGAAGGCCATGGTGGATGTTGGGTCCTCTCAGAAGATGGGGTTTCTCGATCGTTGGTACAATAAAAGAGTGACAAAACACATGAGGTCGATGTGTTGAAATGAGAAAGACGTGCACAACATTAGAAATCTAGCGTGTTAGTCGTGCGGGGAGTGGGGCCACTGCCTCCGATTCCGAGCAGCTGGCGCTCTTGAGTGGACGAAGCGCCGGAACGGAATCGCGGCAACTGCACCAAGCCTAGTCTACGCGCAACTCGAGCAAAACATGCTTTCGAGCAACCGTTGGTTTATTTGCCCATTTTATCTCATGCTTCTGAGTTTGGCAGAGAAGCACGCGGTGTAGCGTGAGAGCGGTCGTTGAACGGAATAAGTACAACAGCGGCCAAAGACATTCCATCAGACACCAGCCCCGGCCAGCCACGTGTCCCACTGGTTCCAGTCCACACTGACTGTCGAATCGATGTCCATGTCGACCAAGGGGTCAAGGTTGCCTATCTCGACATCACCAGTCGGCGCATTGCCTTCTGCTGCCGTCGTTCGGTCGTCGACCATGCTACTACTCTTGTCTGTCTGCACCGTCTGTTGTGCCTTTGATTCCCGTGCTTTAGCCAGCCTTGCCGCCGTTTCCCTCGACTTTCTCAGCTGCACGACATAGGCCGGCACGGTGGAGCCCATGGCCGCCACAGCTTCATGCTGAGCAAACGCTTTCAGACAGAGGTTGCCAACGGCGGCGTGAATGGGTCTGTTGCTCTGCCCCGACAGCATCTCCGGGTTGTTTGTGTACGTCTTCTCGACAAGATCCCAAGTCCTGGCTGCCTGCTCGATGCCAGGCTCGGCCCTCAAGGTGTCCAGCACGTGGATGATGGCGTGCCACTGCTGAAAAAAGGGCGCATGCCAGGCAAAGTTGCGCAGGTGAGGATTGGACTGGAGCATGTGCTGCTGGTCCAGAATGGCCAGACAGAGACGCCATACGACGGCGCGTTCTTCCTTGTTTTGTGCATCGCCCGCACCACCACGGCCTGTCCACCGTCGTGTATGGCGTGTCATGAAGCGCAGGATGTTGATGGCACAGCGGGCCATGAGGGTAGCCATGAGATGCAGCGGCTTGGACGGGTCGCAGTAGCGGAGGTAGCGCGTCTCGAGGCGGGCTTCAATGTCGGCAAAGTCGTTGTCGAGGGCGCTGGTGGTGTACAAACGCCAGGGGTTCGTACTTGGACCCGGCAGCTGCTGCCGGCGCAGGGCACTCAGCCGTGCGGCCGTGAACCGCGGCAGCTCGCACTTGACGGCGACAAATACGGCGTCCGTGGCAGACGGTGCCTCGCCCAACGGCGGGAGGGGGCTTCCCGCCATGGCCGGGCCGAGGGCAGCGTCATCGACATTGGCCGGCCACTGTGTCGCCAGAGCGGCCGTGGATCCTGCTGTCAGGGTACTGTCCACGTCCAAATCCTGGAACTTGGGCCGGCCACAGAGCTCGGCAGTGCGAAAGTCGTGCACCCGCAGCTGCCACCACAGCCGGCGGCGCATCTCAACATCAAAGGGCGGCAGGGGCGGCGACTCTCGCAAGCCATCACGATCCAGCCCCATGCCCTCAGCCAGGCGTATGGCCACGCCGGTCAGCGTCCACACGGCACGTGGCTCGTGCAGATCGCGCACGGCGAGGAGGTAGAGGAGGAGTGCCTGCAGGACAATGATATCGGTGGTGCCGAGCACATTGGCTCGCATGAGGGCCGTCTCAGTGGCAGCAAGGTAGCGGGGGAGCAGGACGGATCGTGGCTCGCCCAGTGTCTTGGAGCAGTCGTCCTCTCGCTGGGACATTACGGCCGCCGCGTAGACGGCAAAAAGGAGAGCCTCGAAAGCACGTGGAACCGTGGGCGTGTCTCGGAAGGCGTTCTCCATGGCATGCTTGACGGTGGGCACATGCAGTATCTTGGTCAGAGGGTCGACGTTCTCGCAGTAGACCTGCCACAGTCGACAAGATATATCGATAGGAGGATGCTCGGGGCGATACCCATGCGGTGACCGGCGATTTGCAAAAATGAATGATGGGCCGACGCCGATGTTGCCGGGCGTGCCCTTCAAGCGAACCTCCACTTCATCGTCACTGGAGCCATCATGGGTGATGTTTAGGTCGTCGTGGGGTTCAAACTAAATGAAAAGTCAGTTGGTGATCAAGAACGGCTGGACGGACACTGCTCGTTGCTGACCTCTTCAATGACTCGAGTCCACAACACACTGTTGTTGTCAGCAACGCGAGACAGAATTGTGAAGACAGAAACGACGACACACTTGTTGGCAAGCCTAAGACGGCCTGGGCTGGCTCCAGACGGTGTCGATTGTATCGACTGCGCTGGCTGTGTCGACTGTGCTGTGGGGAGTGGCTTCTTTTCAGACGGTTCGCTCTCAAGTTGTCGCGGAATATTGACGGGCAAAGACTCTGGATCGATGCCTCTCTCGCGAAACCAGGCTTCATACTCGCGCAGCTGTCCAGCGAGGGCCTGGATCTGGACGTTTGCTTTGTTTGGGCGTCTCCGCCGGTTGCGTGGCGGCAGAGGCAGAAAAGCACAGTCCAGGTCGAGTCGGACACATGCTTCACAGGGACGTTTCCGGTCACATCTACGTCGTGCGGTCAGTCAAGCTGTGAACAAGACGCGCGAAATGGGCAGTGGAATGGCCTTGTCTCTTACTTGACTTTCCGCTCAGAACATCGTGCACAAGCGTGATTTTGCCGAGCAGTCTCCATGGAAGCTGTTGTATGTGCCTTCGTTCTCACATATTGCGCTTTTCTCAAATGCATTGAGACGTTGTCGTCAACTCACTGTCGAGTGAGATGTCAGTGCTGAACGACGCCCGAGGGCAGCCTCTGATTGGCGGGTTTCGTCGGGCCCGACTAACGCCCGACACTAACACCAAAAGTGATCCATGCCAGCGCCTTAACCGCTATCTCGCAGGAGTTCTACTGGCATTTTACAGCGCTTACCAGTCGGGCGTGTGTGCCACCGAGGAGGCAACAACCGACAGAGACTGACGTGAGGCTCCGGTGAGGATATACTGTCGGGCGAGGCTGATGATGAAGGAAGAGACAATTCAATTTTCTAAAAAGGTCGAATAGGTATAAAAGGTCAAGCTGACCAGTCTGTCTCAAGACGACAATCCGTTCGGTCCTCATCTCTTCCTCAAGATCATCAGTCCTCTTACACAACTCGTCACCACATCACCACATCTCCACATCACCATATTCTCTTACACATTTCACATCCCTTCCATGCCTCCTCCACGGATTGCCATTGTCGGCGGCGGGCCGGCTGGACTTACTCTGGGCGTTCTCCTCCACCGACAAAACATCCCCTTCACCATCTTCGAGCTACGCAAGCAGCCCACCGAGGCCGACCTGGCCCGCCCATCGGGCATGCTCGATCTGCACCCCGGGTCCGGCCTGGATGCCATTGAGGCGTGTGGTCTGACGGCCGAGTTTGGTCCGCTGACGGGCGAGTGCAGCCAGCAGTTTCTGATTGCCAACCGGGCGGGCGAGGTGCTGATGGCGGCCGACGGCGGCGGCAAGCGGCCCGAAATTTCCCGCAACAACTTGTCAAAGCTGCTAGCGACGCATGTGCCGCCAGACAGCATTCGCTGGGGACATCGGCTGGCGGCGGCCCACAAGACGGCCTCTGGCACGACGGCCCTCGACTTTGGCGACAACGGCTCGCACACCTTTGACCTGGTGGTGGGCGCCGACGGCGCGTGGTCCAGGGTGCGGGCGCTGCTCAGCGCCACGCGGCCGCACTTTACCGGCATGCACTGCGTGACCGTGACCGTGACGCACCTGACATCCCGCTTCCCGCACCTGGCCGCGCTCGTCGGCTCCGGCTCGTACTGCGTCCTCGGCCGTCGCCACGCCGTCGTCTCCCAGCGCGGGCCCCTCGACTCGGCCCGATTGTACGTGTGGCTGACGGTCGCCGACGAGGCCTTTGCCACCACGCGAGGTCTGGCCGGCAAGCCAGCGCGCGCCGCCAAGCAGGTCCTGTTGGGAGACGAGGACCTCCTGGCCACATTCGGCCCGCGCGTCCAGGACCTCGTGGCCACCGCCTGCGACGAAGACGCGGCCACCGACAGGACGGACGGCACGCTGGATATCCGGCCCTTTTACACGCTGCCCCACGGCTGTTCGTGGCCGCCGCAGCCGGGCGTCACACTGGTCGGCGATGCCGCGCACCTGATGCTTCCCAACGGCGAGGGCGTCAACCAGGCCATGCTGGATGCGCTGCTGCTGTCCAAGGCGGTGGCCGAGGCGTATCGGGCATGTGGCGAGACGGGCGACTTCATCACAGCTCTGAGCCCACTCCTTCAGTCATTCGAAAAGGACATGCTGGCTCGCGCCGTCAAGGAAGGCGAGGAGACGGACCAACGCATTGGGCTCATGTTTGGCTCCGATGATGCTGCGTATGATTTTGTGGCAGCCATGAAGGGCATGATAGGGGGTGACGCGAAGGAGGGAACGGAGGAATAGGAGGAAGAGCAATGGAAGGAGACATGAAGACAATCTTGGCGTGTTGGAATAGATGAGCTTTGTTTCTTCAGATAGATGGTTATTTTTATTTATTGTTGATTTATGACAAGGCATAAATAAGGGTGTAAGACTTAAATATGTAACTTTTTTTTTAAAACAAAATAAAAACGTTACTGAACGCTGTAATTTTAAAATAATTTCCACGTAACCAATGTATCAAGCTCAAATAGCCTCAACTAGTAAACAATCTACATGAACCGTACAAAACTGCGCGTCATGTCAGTTGGTAAGTTGGTATTGTGTCAAATTCCGTTGGTACAGAATACTTCCATGTTAGATGCCACTTGGAAGCCCAGACCAGATAAAATAAGAATAAGAATATGGATAAGCATCTGACAGTTCCAAGCACTAAAAGTCCGCTAAATGCACGTGTCGGAGGAGTGGCAACAAATGTGCATCGAAGTAGCTTTTTTGTTTCTGACGTATCCATGGAAAGTATCTCGTGTTGTCCGGTCCTTTGCTCGTTTAAGTGTGGTGTCCGTTCCGTCTTCTTTCCAACTCGCTTCTGTTCGTTCAATTATTCAGTTAATATTCTTCGTTCCAGCCTTCCCCTGCGCCGCCAACATGGAAACAATATTTTGAGACAACCAGACAACCAAACAAACTCCTCAAAAAGAAAACCAGACTTCCCCCAAGCCGCTGTTGCATTTGCGCCCGTTTGAGCAAATTAAAGACCACACCACTAGACGCGCCGCCCTTCGGTCCCAGCCTTTTCTTGGCCTTTTCCTACGTCCGCCGTCTTGGCATTGGACATCGAACGCAAATTCCCCTCCCAATTCCCCAAATCTCCATGCAAACTCCATGCACTCCGATGCAGGTCTACCTTTTGCCAAGCCCATTAATGGCAAGGCCCAGCACAACATAACAAACCCACCAAACCCACGGACCCTTCAATGGACCAGACGGGTGTAAGAGTAGGGCTTTGGGAGAGCTTCCGTGGGGCAGCAACAGCGCCAACGTTTCTGCAAAAGGAAACATCGACAAAAAAAACATGCTCACTCTGCCGGCCGCCATTAAGCTTCTTTTAGCTTTTGTTTCCTTGGTGTGATTGTGTGCTTTTGGTTTCGTTTTGTTTGTCTATTTAGTCACTCCTTCACCGAGCATGTCACTTGTCACTCTTGTCACTTTTGTTAGTACCTTTCGACGCCTCGACCCCACGGTCTACTCATCGTCTCCTTGTCCTTAATTGCCGTCCAGTCCATCAAAAGTCCAGGTCGATGTCCATATCAGTCTGACCCGTTTTGCATTAGTGTACGTTTTACGCCATGCTCTGTCATTGTGCTCCGTACGCACTACTTCGTCCTACATCGCTGGCCGGCCAAGGCTGCATGTGAAGCATTGGGTCCTCGGCGGCACAGAGAACGAGGCAATATCAACTGTGGCAGACCAACAGCATCTGCTACCCTGCACGTCCTCGTAGACCCAAATATTACTCTTCTGTGCTAGTCATTCGTTTCTTTTACGTATTTTTCCCTCGCTGCCGCGGAATGGATCGTTAACCCACACAAGCTATTCTGGTCGTCGGAGAGCTTGTCCTTGCATCTTCTCGCCGATGGCAGCTCAGCTGTCCGACCGTCTTGGCGAACAGTTGGGTATATAAACCATCAGCAAGCACATGCACCTCCTGCCGTCTTTTTGTGTCTTGCTCCTTTTGTCTTGTCAGACATAAAGATTCCATTGTCCAGTCACGTCTCACACCTCTCCAGCCTTCTCCATCGCCTCACCCATCTCATCCCCTCTCCATCTCTTGATTTCTCCACCCACCTACCTCTTAAGATCCACCACTCACCATGCTGGCCTCCATCGCCACTCTCGTCGCCGCTGCCGGCGTGGCCTCTGCCCACTTCCAGATCGAGTATCCCACCTGGCGTGCCGACTCGCTCAACAACGACAGCTACTCGCAGTATGACTTCCCTTGCGCCGGTGTGCCCCAGGGCGTCGCCGGCGACAACCGCACCGACTGGCCCACCACCGGCGGCTCTCTGTCACTCGACCTCCACCACCCCTGGACCTACGTCTTTGTCAACCTCGGCCTCGGCGACAACGTCACCAACTTCAACTACTCGCTGACCCCCAGCTTCTGGAACGAGACCGGCAAGGGCGTCCTGTGCATCCCGCACCTGGACCTGCCGGCCGGCCTGGCGCCGACCGACGGCCAGCGCGCCACCATCCAGGTCGTGACACTGGGCGAGAGCGGCAGCGCGCTGTACAACTGCGCCGACATTACCTTCCGGAACAGCTCGGTGGCCGACTTTGGCGGGGCCAACTGCACGACGGACGCGGGCGTGAGCTACACGCTCATTGGCGACCAGGCCAACGGAACGTCGTCGTCCGGTGGTAGCGGCAGCGGCAGCGGCAGCGGAACGGCCACCTCGTCCGGCAGCGCGGGCAGCGCCAGCACGACGACCACGGGCAAGAACGCAGGGGCGGCCAGCGGCGTCAACAAGGCCGTGCTGACCTCGGTTGTGGCCCTGGCTGTGGCCTTTATGTACGGCATGAGTGCATGAGACAAACGATGCTACGAAGAGGAGCACTGATCGAAGTGTAATCCCTTGGTGACGAAATGAGCAAATCCAACTGTAATGTGTAGATGGTATCAAAAAAAAGTATGAACTGTATTATGCTGGCTTGATTGGAACCGCCGTTGCTCGGATTTATTGCTTGCGCTCTGCGCTGTCGTGATGCCCATGTTGTCTATGTTTTTTTTTTTGCTATGCTGTTGTATGTATGATGGACATTAATATCAAGGGTGGATAATAACCTCGAAGAGCAGAGTTGAATGATGTGAAAGCCGTGAGTCAATGCCACTTGTCAATGACTGGATGATACGTAAATGCAAAAGTGTGCAGATCAAATAACTTTTGAGGTCAAGTCTCCTCTTCGTTCAGCATGCATATATGCGCCGTTCCCAATAGAAAGCAAAGACAAAAGGTAAGAACAACAGCCATGATAGAGGGAAATGCAGGACTCAACAGTGAAGTGGAGTGCAACGGGAACAACACCCAGAATGACACAGTGATAAATAAATCAGGGAAACAATCAAACAATATAGCAAAGACAAACAAACGGTCGCAAGGGACCAGTGACGTATCGAAAGACCGTCAACCATAAAAGACGTAAAAGTAAACAGAAAAGGGGTATGAGAAGACAGAAAATACAAAAGGGACAAAACGAACAGAAAATACAGGAATGCCGACACGGAACAAAATATAAGCCGTAGGATGCCTCCCCAGGAAGAAGGATGGAAAAGAAGAAGAAAAAGAGATATAAAACGAAATCAAAAGCAAACAAATCCCGTAAATGTCGTGCCAACAAATAAATCCCACCAAATGAACAATTCGTACTCGTCACGCCGCCACCTTCATCAGCTCGCTCACCACCCGCTTCATCGTGATTCGCTGGTTCGGGTTCGGCGCCAGCATCTCGTACGTCAGCCGCTCAATCGTCTCGCTGCGGTCCAGCTTGTCCTTGGCCTCCCGGATCTCCGACAGCCACATGTTCATCTGCATCGCCGCCGACGGCGTTCCCGTCGCGTTGCTGCTGCCGCCGCCATTTGTTGTCGACAGCGCCGTCGTCTTGTTGACATCGGCAATCTGCCAGTACAGAGGCTTCGGCCGGTTGCGCCCGCCGCGCGTGTCGGGGAACCCAATCTTGCGCAGCACATACAGCATCGTGATGCCCAGCGCCCACACGTCGCTGGGCGGGCCGCGCAGCTTGCGCCCGATGAACTCGGGGGGCACGTAGTAGGGCGTGCCGCCGGCTGAGGGTGGGCTGTTGATGTCTGTGGAGAGCCCAAAGTCGCACAGCACGGCGCCCCGCTCGGGCGAGTACAAAATGTTGGCGGGCTTGACGTCGTTGTGCACGAGGTTGCGCCCATGGATGTAGTGCAGCGCCCCGGAAATGTCCCGCAGGATCCGCAGCGCGTCCCGCCGGTCGCCCGTGAAGTAGTCCGAGTTGGACGCGCGCCAGGCGCCCTTCTTGCTCAGGTCCTTGGCGTCGACGTGCTCCATGTACAGCGACAGGTACCGCGCGTCGCCGCCGTACAGCCGCACGATGCTCTCGTGCCGCAGGTACTCGTGCGACTGGTACTCGCGCAGCCACGTATCGGCCTGCCGCACCACCACACGCTCCATCTCCTGCGGGCGCAGCTGCTGCGCGGCCAGCGCGGCAGCCGCAGCCGCCGCCGCCGTATTGGTGACCGGCGAGGACGGTAGAGGCGCGGGCCGCGTCTTGATGACTTTGACTGTGATGACACTGCCGGGCGGTACTTCGGGGTGCTCCATGGTGCCCGTAAAGACGGTCGAGAGGGAGGTCGACGCGATCGGGTCGCGCTTCGTCAGTTTGTACGAGTCGATGTCGCAGCTGCCGGGGACCACAACTGTGTCCTGGCGCTCCATGTCCAACAGAGCGTGCGAGTCGGTGAGCTGCTGCCCGACCTCGTTGCCCTTGGCGGACGTGGGCAGAGGGAAGACAAGCGGGTCAGCCGTGGGTCGCAGGAACATAATGACGGCCTCCTTGTTAACCTCATCGATACCGCCAACGGGAGGCGCCATGTCCGCACCCTCAATGGTCTTCTGCCGCCGTGTGTCGGGCCGGCCGACATCGTCGTCCTCATCGGCAACAAACGAGCGCTTGCCTGATGATGCGGGGGTGTCATTCTGTAATGGTGGTGGTGGGAGTGCCTTGAACAGTGTGCGGCGGCGCTCTAGTATCCGAAAGTCCAGAACCTCAGTATGGCCCATCTTGATGCGCCAAGTGCCTGGTGACAGGGCCTTGATCGTGCCCGGGTTGATGTTATACTCGATGCCCTGAATGAAGCCCTGGCTCCCGGGCGGCATCACCATCATAGGGGTGGTGGTAGTGTTGGCGTTTGTGGGCGTGCCGGGTGTGCTTGGTGTGCCATCGGAGCTCGCGGGCGGGGAGATGGCGGGGTAGATCCGCGACAGGTTGATCGGCACGTCGCATCTGTTGAGCAGAATCTGGTTGTCGCTCGAAGGGTCGTAGTACAGCTCGCACCAGAGGGTTGGCATCGGCGTGCCGTCGCTGTGGCGCTCACTCAGCACGGTGAACTTGATGTCCTTGGATGTTTGTGTGACGGCCAGTACCGTTTCTGGCGGCTGGTCCGCGGCGCCAGCCGAGGCTACCTCGGTGCGCAGGGCCACCCACTCGCAGTTGTCGCTGCTGCCGGGGCTGACGGAGCGGCTGCGCAATGGGCGAACCAGCAGCCGGATGTCCTTGTCCGAGGGCACGACGAGCTCGTCCAGGTGGACGTTGCCGGCGCTGCCCGACGCCGCAAAGCTCTCCTGGACGCGCATGTCGAGCAGGCGTGAAGCATACTCGGACGACGGGAATGGTTCGGTCTTTTCCTCCGTGTCCAACGCGGAGGATGACGACTGCGTCACCGCTTCACCCATGGCGGCAGCGCACGGCGGCAAAGCCACGGTCAGGGATGGAGGCGGAACGCGGCCAGCCAGGAGCGGCGGCGAGGATGGCGGGGAAGTGGTCAAGGTGTGTTATGCCAGACAGCGGGGAGAATGAGACGGCGAGGCAACTCTAGAGTAGGAGGGGAAGCAGGGAGGGCAAGAGAAGAGAAGAGAAAGATAGAAAAATCAGAGCACAGAAGACAGCACAGACACAGGCGGCCACCAGATATATATGGTCAACCCAGCCACGTAAGCCGCACAGAAGCAGAGGCGGAAACACGCAAAAAAGAGTCAAACGGGGGCTCGGGCACCAGTCGTCAAGCGGGGGGGGGGGGGGGCAGTCGGCCGATATATATATCCATATATCTACATACACGCTCGTGGCCGGTCCGGGCGGAGGAGGTGTGGGGTCGGACGGCAGGGACTTGCGATTGGGTGAGCGCGGTGCCGCCAGGTCCGAAACGAGAATAGCGGCAGGGTGACGGGCGCCGTGGGTTGCAGAAAAGGAGCTGCGTCGAGGTGCCGGGACAGTCGTCGTCGTCGTCAACCGGAAAGTTTGTGGTTGAGGTTGAAGGAGGAAAGGTTTCCTGAAATGCAAGGAAGGAAAGTGGCAGGGCCGGCGGTTGATATTTCGGACAGCTGTGGGTCCTTTTCGCTCTTTCCTTTCTAATAATAATAGCAGAGGGAAGGGGGGCAGCAATGACACGGACGGCTAGTGTGCTCGACTGAAGTCGACTCGTCTGGAGCCAGAGAGGGTCGTTCCTGCCGTTTTATGAAGTTCCTCGATGTCGACAGCGACGCCTAAGTATCGGCTCGATTTCGTTCTTTCCTATTTCTCTTTGTCGTGCGCGCGTTGTGGTCGCCTGCAGTGTCCGCCTGGTGCAACTGTTTCTGTCCTGGGAAGGCACGACCGGCCAGCAGACGGGGCCTGTTCTGGAGTTGCTCGGGCGCTGGAAGGCGGCAAACAGTCTGCAAAACCGACACAAATAGGGCAGGACCGCTACAACGAGCAGTTGCAGCCCGTCACGCGGAAAGCAGCACAAGGGCAAACAGAAACAATACGAAGGCAACAAATGATGGAAACGAGGCAGTAAGGCGAAATAGAGGCCAAAAATAAAATGACAAGCGTCGAAAGAGGCCGTAACGGAAGAGAGCGGCGTGAGGTGAGAAGAGACCCGGTGATGTTGTCACGAACCAACACCCAAGGCAATAAAAAATGAACAACAAGGAGAATCAGATACTTAAAAAAGAATGTGACAAGAGAGTCATATAGGACAACACCAAAAATAAGATTCAAAAAATTGGAGTTTCCAAAAATTGGGGAAGGAGGGCCAGGGGCCGCTTCTCAGCTTCAAGGTGACCACAGAAGGCCACAGAGAGGGATGGAACACAACGGACGGCAAGAGAAAAAACAGAGAGCAGGACAGCCAGCAGGACGGACCACAGGACGGATAACAGGACACCAATACAGGCCACGCAACAGAGCAAAGAAAGACAGCAGAGAACGAGGAAGACGACCTCGAAACTCGCCGAGTCGAGTCACAGCCAAGAAACGGCGGAACCACACAGAAAGCGCTCAACGAGGCAGAAAATATCACGAAAGTAAGAAGACGGAAAAAAGGAGGTTAGAAATAAGGACGAGAGAAACAAGACGCAAAAGGGCGGCAGCTGCCTAGAGGCCGCCATGGCAAGCGGCGCATGCGGGAAGACACGAGCCACACCCACCAGACAACCGCGCCACAGAAGCCGCCGTGTATGTCGGAGGCTGCACGGTGTAACTGACGGTGTATGTTATAAGTGGTGCGAATTGCTCGCACAAATGGCCCCCAATCTCAGCCCTGCACAGTCTGTGACTTCACAGACACGGCGTGGAGGCTGAGGAAACCCTGCGCCCATTGGCCTCTGGTCACGTCGACTTTGCATGTGGACTACCGGCCAGGTTGCCTTCCTGTGAGGCATACATGCATTCTGAGGCAGAAATAAGTTGTGACATGTGGAAGGGGTGATGTTAGACGTAGGCGATGGAGGTACAACGCGATAAGGCTGTCTTGTGTGAGCCTCTCTGTACACAGTGTATTACAGTGTATACTGACTTTTTGCGCACTAACTACTGTGTACAACTGTACAAAGGATGTTTCTCTCCGCTGACGGCTCTCCTCTTCAGCCATCGGATATCTCGCTACACCCCCAGACCCCTTGCCCCAAGGCGCCTCCTCCTCCCACACCTGCATGCTGTGCCCGACGAGAGTTTGTCCCCCTGCTTCACACTCTCTCAGATGCCCCACTCCTACCTCACGAAAACAGGCAGAGGCAGGGAGAAAACGGGACTGGGGGGTTTCAGCCATGCTCCCATTGGCTGCGAGATATTCCTACGCTTTATTCCAGGCACACCATTGGCTAGCAGGGGTCACTAGCGCCATGCATAGAAAGGCGCAGCTGCATTTCAACGTACATGCAGACCCACTTATATATGACCGAAAGAGATGTTTTATTGGTTGCAGGGCTCGGATGACCTTGTTCTAGCGCCACTTTGTCTCATTCCGTTTTTGGTGCCAAACGATCCATTTTGCACAACAATCCTTCGTTCCACCTTTGTTGGGTGTTGACCGCATCGCCCACTTTTCCCGCCCTTTTTCAACCCTACGGCCTGTGTTTCCTCACTTCCCGCCCAATTTTGCCTCTTTGCCTCTTTGTTGTCACCAATGCGCCTGCGATGGTGAAAGACGACGCCCACTCCCGCTGAACAGTCTTTGTTGCCTTCTGTTTTGTCCCCATTTCGCCCATCTCGCTACTGCATCTCGCAACTCTCCTTCTTCCTCATCATCACCGTCCCCTCTCGTCCCCTCCTCTCTTTGAGCCAGAGTCCAATTCCCTCCTCAGAGCCCCCAAAATCGCATCCAAAGCCATAGAAACTGTAGATTCCGCCCACAATTTCCGCCTCTTTCTCGACAGCCACCGTTTTGCACGCCTTTCAGCTTCTCTGACCATCTAGCCACAACCAAAAACACCGCCAAAATGTATCACGCCGCTGGTATACCTCTGCAGTAGATGCCCTGCTCTGCTTGCAACGACTGTCACCATCGTTGTTCATGAACAACGCGCTCTGGACCTGGCTCATCTCTCATTCCATCTCTCGTCCCCTTCTCGCTCATCCGCTCCGTCTCTCACGATTCTCTTGACTCCCACGATCATCGAACTTCTCCCTTCCGACGACTGATTCGATCTGTCCCTCTTCGACTCAACCCTCCCCCCTCCAATCTCCGAAATCACAGTACCATCAACTTTCGTCGACACGGTCTCCCCCGTGTCGTCCATCACCAAACTCTTGTCGATAAATACCCACCTCGTACCCTCGTTCGACACCGCTCAACCCATCATGGAAGATCCTGATATAGCCTGGCCTGCGTGGAAGTTTGGCATGAAGCGAGACGCGCTCTTCACGACCCTCCACAAGCAGTACAACACCTTCCAGTCCACCATCCAAGATCCCGATGCCTTTCACCACGACGTCTTTGAGATTGCCAACGAGGCTACGACTACCGGTGAATTTCACAATCTGCTCGCCGTCCGCCGTGATCAACGCCTTCGCGAGCTGAACGAGTCGCTCGAATCGGCCTCGTTCGAAATCATCGCCAACCCGGATCTCGTCGGCACAACACAATGGGAACAAGCCTTGCAGCTGTTTCGGACGCGGTCGCTTGACTCGCTCGTTCGCTACTTTGCCTCCTACCTCCCCAGCAGCCACCCTTGGCACAAGGCCTCGCCCTCGTCCTCGGGTCAGAACACTGAAATTGAAGCCAAGAGTCAGCCGCCCGTTGCAGCTGTGAAGCCCTTCTTCGACGATGCCAGCTTCACCCAAGAGCCGATGGCAATGACCCATTCCCTCTCCCACACCTCTCTTCACCACGACCTCCCTCCCTCGCCTCGCTCCCTGACGACATACTCTGACGACATGGAGACGTCGTCCCACCAGCTGTACTGTCTCAACACTCTCACTCCCGCCCGCACACTGTCCTTCGACTCCAATGAAGGCGATCGCCCCCATGACATTGAGGACGGCGATGCTGCCCCCAACGTCGACAACGACGACGACGATGACGAGGAGTGTCCCTCCCAGTTCGACGACGACACCTCTCAGTCCTCTGGCCCCGACACACCCGTGTCCATGTCGGATGCAGAGCCTGACGTCGCTGAAGAGGAGTCTCCCCACCACAGCCCTGCTGAGGCCTATGCCACTACCATGCAGGAGTTAGTGGATACCACCACCCCCGAGTCCAAGACCCCTCCCACCCCCGTCACGAACCAAAACCAGAACCAGAATCAACCCCAACTTGAAGCCATTGCCAATGCCGCCACGCCAACGACAACCGCTCACACCACCGATGCCACCATCGGAAGCGGCAAATCACACTCATCGTCGCCGTACCGTCGCCCGCTGCAGCCGGGCCTCGCTGTCAACGATTCTTGCTCCGCCTCGCCTCTGCCTGTTATGTTCCGGGACCGTCACCGTAGCGTCTCACCCTCTGCGCGGCCGTGGCCTGTGGCACATGTTGATGCCGGCCGCCACCACCCTGCCGCGCCGAGCGGCATCATTGCTACTTGTGGCCGCGCCTCTGACCGCTCATCCCGGCAAGGCCGCATCCACCGCCTCGACGCCATCGCCTCCTCCTCTACCAACACCAGACGTGCCAGCAGCTGCGGACGGCGCAGGCCAGGGCTCGGCGTCGAGAAGACTGCCTTGCCCAGACCCATGCGGACCCGGTTCCGGGGTCGCAGGGAAGCTGCCGCGTCCGCCGCTGTCGATGAACGAGAAAGACAATAGGATTACGCACAGCCCACAAGAATCACACATCACATTACCAATCCACCACTACCTCCAAAGGATGTTTCATCTTTGTTTGTTTCATCCTTCCACTCGTCTCTCTTTCTTGTGTGTACGATATTGTCTTTGCTTATCTGGCATCTCTATCTGCATTGCACAGCGTGGAGCGTGGTATTCTTTTTGCTTTTCATTTCTCGGCTTGGCTTTCCCGAGGTATGGTTTGCTTGTTTTCTGTTCTCTTCATTCCATCGGCGTCTTCAAACCAGCAAGGCGTCATCATGGTAAAAGGGTCATTGCAAAGCATTCTCTGGCAAGGCACACATTCACACATGTCCTCGGCACGGGCATCATCATCTGGCTATACTGGCATCACTGGCGTCTTCATGATACCCTCATCTTTGTCAAACAACGGCGTCCTCTCACAATCATTCTTTGTAACCCACCTTGGCAGATCAGGAATCGGAAAGAACTCGCTTTGTCTTTGCTGACCCTTGGTTGGTTTCCTCTAACCGGCGTGTTCTATCTGGCAAGCGCGATTCTTTCTCTCTACCCGCTTCCTTTCAAAACTATCACGACAACCTCCTATACATCTCTCTCACGATCATGATTATCTTTTGTGTTTTTCATCTCGTTTTTTTATTGCGTTGCATGGAACCGGGAACTGGGAAAGAGACGGATTAAAAGCAGAAACAGGCTGTGTCGGGACGAGAACGAGTCAAGTGGACTGGTACAAGAAGATTTGACGGGGAAGAGGCAATTCTGCAGTGTCCCCCCGCTGTAGAGTGCCATTCTTGTGTCACGCTTCTTGTAAGATCCCTTGTCTTGCTGTCCTCGCACGTCCGTTCTGTATCTCTTGGGGGTTTCTTGCTATTTTTTGCGCCTGCATTTTTTGTTCTCATTTTGCTCGATATACCCCCCTACGACTGATTACCATTAAACTTACCTTTTGTTCTGTGTACATTAAAACATCTCCTCCCATCAAGACTCAGGGGATCCTATTTTTTTTCAGACAAAGAGCTGGCCGGCATCTTTCCTGTTTTGCCACAGCTTCGTGTACTACTTACAAACCTCAATTTCGGCCATTACCGAAATAGGCCTACAGATCAAAATAAGTCCTATTTATCTTTCTTACTCTTTGATTTGCATTTACCGTGCTTTGTTGCCTTTCGACGTACATTGCGATACTTAAGACAAGCTGGTAACAACCATGGCTGCGACGCTGAACTGGCCTGATTTTACTGACCTAATTTGACTGTCTTGTTTAGGACGAACAGAGAATCTGCTGTTCTAATTCATCAGATGCTGCTCAATAGTATCATAGAACAAACCACGATTTGATGCCTCAAGATGTAAGCCACATTACTTTTCTTTGTATCTCCAAGGTTTTGCTGGTAATACATTGTTGCCACTTTTGAAAATTTTCAGCGTCTTTCCCCTCCTAATATGGAATCACGTACATCATTATCCAGCAGTATGGAAGGCTACTTAGAATTATAAAAGATAAATAAGATTTGTAGAACGATTTGCTGTTTAGCCAACGACTTAACAAAGGTAGAAATCGCAATTAAAAGGGTTTGAAATCGACAAATAATCCGCCCAAAAGGTATCCACAGTATTTTACCTTGCTTTTTCAAGGTCCTTCAAAATCAATCAAACATCAAGTTGTGGAAAATCCAACACAGGTATATGTAAATTCGCCCGTTACCCACGCAAAGTAAGCAAAAATAACCAAAAAAAACACAACGCCGGAATGATACGCTCGTTGTCAGTTAATACAAATAGATGGGCTCCAAAAAGGGCGCCTTGTCGAGGTCGGCGACGACATTGCCCTTGGCCGTCAACCAGGCACCGCGGTCCGTAATAGGCACGACCTTGCGCGTGTGCGCAACCTCCTGGCGACTGACGCAGGCGTCGTCACGGGGAATCCACAGCTTGGGAATCGGCTTCCACATCTCAGGCGGCCAGTAGCCGCGAAATGTGTAGTCGGCTGGGTAGGCCATGGGCTCTTCCTGTTCATCCCGGACCAACGTCTTCCGCAAAAAGGTATAGTCCTCGAACAGCTCCGGGTGCAACCAGCGCGTGAAGAAGTTGGGCTTGGGCTTTTCGGACAGGGGTTGACCGTCGGCGCCCAGCTCCCCCTGGGGCCCGGCGTCGCTGTTGCTCGCTGCGTTGGGATCAGCGCGGTTGTTGTTGATGTCGTTGCGGACTATGGTCGTTTTCCCCCAAGGGATGTACCGCGACACACTAAACGAGGTAATGTCCGTCTTCATGGCCTTGACCTCGGTCTTCATGCGCTTCTTGATGGCGTCGCGGCCCCAATCCTTGACCATGCCCATGAGTTCACTGGCACCGTCGATGCCGCGATTTGTGACGGGGCCCGCGTGCAGGTCGTCGTCCGAGTCGTTGTCCTCACCGTAGCCCTCCTCAATGTTGTAGTAGTCGGCGTTCAGACCGCCGCTGTTCGCACTGCTAGCGGCAGCCTCAGCGGCTTCACGCTCCGCCTGCCGGCGGAGGTCTTCGTGGCCGGCCGCCAGGTCTTGGTCATCGAGGGCCAGAGTGCGCGGTAGGCTGTACAGCAGCGGGCTGACAGCGTCGTTGAGGGAGGTGTGGACAAGGAAGGTGAAAACGAGGAACATGATCATCAGGATGACGGGGCCTACGGCAGACTGGATGGAGAACAGGCCAATGAGACAGACCTCGGCCAGGTACAAGCCAATCATCAGGTGCAAGAGGCCGCGCGGGTAGTGCAGGCCTCTGCTATCGCGATCGCCGTCGAAGGCGTAGACAAGGTTGTACTTGTACACCTGGTAGACGACGCACATGCCGATGCCCGCAAAGACGAGAATGAGAGGGGCAATGCAGGTGTAGCTGATGGCAATGACACCCATATTGGTATACACGGGGAAGATGCCACCCCAGTGCGGCTGCTTGAGACGCTGGAAGTTGCGGACGGCGCGGCGAGGGTGCTGGATGGTCTTGTTCAGGACGGTGTGGCGGAACAGGTCAAAGAAATGGACCAGGCCAATGGCACCACCAGCCAAGCACTGCACGGTGATGTAGGAGAGGTAGAAGTTGGAGGCCTTGGGCAGGTTGGTGGACAGCAGATCCTTGATGGAGAGCGGATCGGCCAAAATCTGCGTGAAGGCGGCCGAGGCGGCCGAGGTCAAGGTGGTGATAAGAAAGACTTGGATGAGCTGGAAGCAAAAGTAGGCGTGCTGGGTGTACAGCTCGACCATGGGCGACGACGGAAGGCCGGCGATGCGTGCGCAGATGCGCAGCATTCCCGGAACAGCCGCCATCAGAAGAGAGAGAGCAACCGCAGGTAGCAGGCCCTCGATGACGCCAGTAATGGCTTTGGGAATATCGGCAATCCAGTGCAGGAAAAAGACGTTGGAGCTCAAGAAGGAGACGTTGGAGATTATGCCGACCAAGGCGGCTGGGATGGACCAGAAGACGATGCCGACCGCAATGGCGCCCATGATCAAGAAGCGGCGCATGATGCGCTCCCACCAGCGCATGCGGAGAGACGACCAGATGACATCTTCGGGCCGGATGCCGATGAACCGCGGCGACATGTGCAGCGGCTGGTGGTGGGTGAGGACCTGGAAGGCGACCTGTGCGGCGGCCTGGGTGTCGAACTCGACAAACATGGACGAGATAAGGTCGCCGTCACCGGCACGGAACTTGCGGCGCAGTTTGGCAATGGCCTTGTTCAGTGACTTGATGCGCATGCGGGTCCAGCGAATGGTGTCGACGCGGCGGCCAAAGTTGGCCAGCGGGCGATGTGCCGGGCGTTTGTCGACGGGCAGCCACTGAGCGGCAACAGAGCCGCGAACATCGGGGAGGGTGTCGTTGAAACCGTAAGGGTGGATATAATCCTGCTCATTTTCCTCGTCGTCGTTGTTCTCCTTGTTGTCGTCGGCGAACTCTTTCGTTGCAGGTTTGGCAACAATGGTGTTGTCCTGGTTTGGGGGGCCTTCCACGGCCCTCTCGATTTCAGTAATCTCGGACATGGGGGGAACAGTGGAGACAACAGCCGTCGCTGACGACGGGCCGGATGCGTCTGAGAAGGACCCTTGGCGGTCGTCGGGCGCCATGGGCAATATGTCGTCGGTGACATGGGCCCTGTCGGCCTTTCGTGCCGCCGGTGACGGCTCTTGGATTTTGTTTGTTTGGTTGATTTCACGAATTTCATGAATAAGACCCGGCGAAAGGGTGTTTTGCAAAACGTTGATGGTTGATGACGTTGAAACGGCGGGTGGTGGCTGTGGCGGTTCGGTTGGAACGCGGGATGCTGATCCCGTCGAAGCAGCAGATGCCCGTCGTACTGACGAGGAGGAGCGCTGTGGTGGAGCTGCCGCCACCGTCGCTGCTGTTGTTGCCGTTGTCGCTGCGGCCGGTTGCTGTGGTAAAGTAGATGCCCTTGGAGGTGGTGACAGTGGAGCTGCTGCCGGTGCAGATGTAGAGGGACGAGGGGAGTGTGCGGCAGAGGATGGAGAGGAATGTGAGGATGGCGAAGAGGACGAGGCGGAGGAGGCAGCGGAGGCCGCAGAGGCCGCAGAGGCAGATGAGGATGTCGAGTCGAGGGTGGACGAGGTGTCGGACCGGGCCGGCGACCGGCCGGCCATGGAGACGGGAGGAGGAAGTTGCTGGTCAAGGGGCACGCCGTGCTTCTTTTTGCGAGCGCGGTTGGCCTTGCGAATCAGCTCGATCTCGGCCTTTTCCAGGCGCACAGCAGCCTTTTCCCGCTCGTCGACCAGGCGCTCCAGTTCGCGGGTGTTGCGCGGGATCCACACATTCTTAACGGAGTCGCCAAAGAGCTTGCGGACGCGGTGCTCGTCCAGAAAGCGCTTGGGCACGCAGGTGAAGAGGACGGTGCGGGACGACAGACGCTGGGCATGGCGCGGCGACATGAGGTACGCCTGGCGCAGGTTGATATAGTAGATGCATTCGCGGCTGATCATGAAGAGGATGAAGCCGAAAAAGAGCCAGGCAATGGCAACGTGGGCGTAGAACTTGATGGGCGAGGCAACGTCGCCAATGGTGAGCAGGTCGAGCTGACTCAGGTTCTTGCCGCCGGTGGCATTGACGGAGAGCAAGACAGGCCATGCAATGATGCAGCCGGCGAAGCAGATGGTGGCCAGGACGCGCAGGTAGCGGAGGAAGAAGAAGCCATCGAGGGAGGTATTGTTGAGGAGGAAGGCCTCGTCGATGTTCCAAAAGTCCTTGAGCCAGGTGAACCAGGTGTCAGGCAGGGGCGGGACGGGGACGAGGGGGGCGCGGCGGATGCTGGAGATGGTGCGCGGCGCGTAGACGCGCTGGCACTTGCGGCGGAAGACGAAGAAGATGACGAGGCAGACGCCGGAGTAGACGAGAACGGGGACGAAGGTGCTGCCGAGGGAGGCAGCGGAGGAGGAGTCAGTGCCGGAGGAGGTGACGTGGCTGAGGGTGCCGCCGGTAGAGTTGTCGCGGCCGGAGCCGATCCGAGGGTCCTGGCTTTGATTCTGGGAGCGTCAGCATGTATGTTGGAGGGAGGTGTGACTTGGGTATATGAGCGGGAGAAGGATGTGATGCCGGCGACTCAAGGTCTGTCGACGTCTGTCGTTACTTACCAGGCGCTTTTCGAGGCCGGTAACCAGCGTGATGCCCCAGTCCATCTTGTCATTGCTTCCGGGGGCCGTTCACTGCAGCCGGCAGGGGAGGGTCGTCATGCCGTGAGGGCGGGTTGTTTTGAATTCGCCGGCGGGAGTTTGTTGTCGGCGTCGAAGGAGTCAGGGGTAATTGGTGATTGTTGTCAGGAGAGATGCGGTGCACAAAAAAGAGAGAGCAGTAGAGTCTCGACAGAAACAATTACGGGAGACAAAAGAAGCAACGACAACCGACGACGTCCAACGAAGCAGGGCAAGGAGATAAAATGGAAGGAAAGACCTAGGCCCACGAACAGACGATCCACGACAAGACGCACGAAGGCCCTGCAATGGGCAAAGATGGCAGGCACGCCCCAGTAAAAAAGGGCTAACTACAAAGTGGAGGTGCAATGAGGCCCAAATGTCTCTCGTCCAATGTCTCTGATGAAAGGCGATGGGCGAGAGGGCAAGTGCGAGCGGGGACAGTCGACCCACAGGGGTACGGAGGGCCAGTGGGTTGATGGCAGGGGGGTTCCTTCCTTGGCGAGGTGTACTGCGGCGATGGTGTTGGTCGTTCTCTTCTCATTGCTCTTCTGTCTGCTCTTTCCTTGTCGAGATTGTGTGTGGTCTGTGTTGTTGTGTTTGTGTTCCCAGGCCCGCGGCTCCTTCTTCATTTGCCACTGCCGTGTACTGTTTCTCAGCTCGATGCGAGGTCGCATTTGCATCGTTTTGGGAAGGACCCCCCAGTCGATCCACGTCGTACTTTGCGTACGGAGTACGACGTATTACAGGTCTGATCACGCAAATATTTGACCACCTACAGCCTACAACCTACTTGGTAATACACTTTGCTCTATGGAGTCAGTTCGTGGTGCCACACTCCTGCTGTCCATTTGCGGCTCTTCAAACAGTTGTCGCTCAGTGCGCATGTTGTATTGTCGTCTGCCTTGTCCATTGGGACTTTCCGTCACTGGGAACAAAACAGCCGTCGCCCCATTTAGTGCCTTCATTCGGCCAGTGGCGCGCCGTCGGAGACCTCCTAAAGTGCCTGAGTCCCCTGTGGCGACAGCCGGCTTGGTTGGACACTAAAAGCCTGACCTGGGATTTTGGTGCGGTTAGCGTGTTGTGCCGGCTGATGGCTAGCGCTACAGCAAGGCCCAGTGGCCAATCGGGGACGCCATTTCCGCCGCGTAGTGGCCTAGAATTCTGGGAGTCTGGCTAGCCCGGGACGGTCCAGCGCTGGCATGCCACTACGGGCACCAAGCTTGCATTGCATCGCGCCGCTGGACGTTGTCTGTCGCAAGTTGCAATCAAAGAGCCTTCGATTCAAGACAACGGCTCCGACCCCCTCAAGACAGCATTCCAGACCACCCGCCACAACCCAACGGCGACACGCGGCGGCGCCGTGTCTTTTGAGAGGATTGCATTCTCTGCCTTGGCGGTCGAGTCAAGACTGTCGAGACATCATATCTCGATCGCTTCAGGGTCCAAGCTCAAGTATTTGGAAATAAAGTCTTGGCCCATCACAGGGTTGCAACCCGCTTCCGATAGTTCTGCGCAAGGACACAGCGGGCTGACTGCAAGCCTACGGTACCACATTACACCTGCCCAGCCAACGTACCAGACGAAAGCCAGGGTGTTTCCGACGCGCAATATAAGATAGACTGCCTCTGGTCTGCAGGGTCGCATCGCGCGAGCGACGGTTCAGAGCTGAAAAATTGAAAGTGGGCGTTCGGGGCTGGGCAGCCTGGATCTCCATGGCGCCGAGGATTCAGTCACAGCCGGAGACGAGGACAGAGGCATTGGCGATCGTGAATGGGCATAGGAAGGACGTCGTACAACGACTCAAACGGCTTCTGCAAAGTTAGCTCGTCGTCTTGTCGTCTCGTCGTCTCGTCGTCTGTCTCACCTATTGCAATGGATACGTTGGCAGGATGGTAGGATAAATGATGTGCATTCTGGTGAGTCCACAGCCTTTTGACGATCACAACCAGTGGAGTCGGCGGCCAGTGGAGGAGGTGGGATCGGTGGGTTGTGGTACGATGTAGTCGATCAGTGGACTACGGACCAAACAGTGTAACCGTAACCGGGTCGAGAAAGACGATGTGTCCAGGTTGATGGCGGTCTGCGACCTGGCGGCATCTGTTCTTCACCTTGTGAAGAGCGGACAAGGGGGCACACAAACCGCCGCCTGCTCTCATATGTTGGAGACAGGAGGACATCCAGACAGGCAGACAGGCAGACAGGCAACATTATTGTCAGTCACTGAAAGACATTCGTGAGAACGGTGCGCCAATACGGCAGCGATTGTCGTCGTCGCCATTTCTCTCCACTTCTTCCGCCTATCACATCCGCTGGTCCGTCTCTCCCTCGTCATTCTGCCCTTACAACGCCTGTGACGCCCTTGGACAACACCTCCTGCAACCGTCGGGGCATGTCAATGTCTCTCGTAACCCTCTGTATGTCGTATTCCGTCTCCATACTACCTTCGTAGCTTCGTAGCCATCGTATCTTGCGCCCTCCCAACCGCCATCGCCCAGCCTCTCCTTCATCCCTTGCGTTGTAACCGTCCTGCCCAATGTTGACAGCTGCATGGAATGATTTGTAATTGAAGTTTGTCAATGTCAGTATGTCTTTCTCGGAGAACGGTTCCGTAACTTTGCTCTTCTTCGTCATCTTCGTCCTTCCTCTTCCGATGGCTAAACTCTCGTCATCGCCATCCAAGACAGACGAGACCAAGAGCCACTGTTCGTTCCTCGCAGTGTTGTCTGTTCGCTCGCTTGTCTGCAAGGATGAAACCATGCAACGGTCAACCTGGCCTGCCAGATCTGAAGGTGTCAGAGCCTACCGAGAAGCAGGGATGTGCATCGATCGTGCATTTCATATTGTTCTCCTTTTTGGGGCGTCCTGGCCCCGTTTTGTGTCTGACATCGACGACATACGCCCTCTCTATGCCCTCTCTACGCCTTCTGCTCGCCGAAATCAATTCGGTTCCTGCTTCACTAATCCCGTAGCCAAGCGCTTGTGCAGAGTCCCTGCGTGGGCCGGTACTTTTGCAAAAGTGCACCTCCCTAACATCCATTTATTTGCCCCCGCGGCGCGCCTCGCTTCTTTTGGCGTATTTGGACAAAAACATCCACTTTTGGTCTAATCTTTCGTGCACTACCGACAATGTCTGGTCATAGCTTCATTTCATGTCACATATAAATGCCGTGAGTTTGTGCATCTCACTGCGAGGCCATGAAGCATATCCAGTCGGCACATAAGTCTTCAGGTACAGAGTGCATGGACATCTGTCCGTCGCGCCACCAGACTCAACACCGTCTTCAATTGTCTATTATCTGTATAATTGTTCTGTAGAGCACGTCGGCTGCGTACATATCGACTCTACCTTTCTGTCTCGTCCATGGACAGCCACTATCCTCCTCAACCACTCTTCTCCTTGTCCGTCGACGGCGTATTCTCGGCCGTCGCCGTCGGCGCCACCGGCACGCCCACGCCCGCAATCTCCACAATGTCGCCCACACTGCCGCCCACAATGCCGTCGTTGCCCTCGCCCTCGCCCAGCGTCATCTTGGGCCCCTTGAACCACTTGCGCGCGTCGACGAGGTAGTAGAGCGAGGCGCCGCCCCAGACGGCCATGTTGATGACCACGGTGTAGTTCATGGCCTGCGGGTCTGGGTTGGGCCCGCCGACGGGGAACATGGACAGGACGATGCCGTAGAGCAAAAACACGACGCAGAACCAGGCAATGGGCAGGGAGTAGCGGCCGGTGTAGAACGCGCCGGGGCGGAAGCGGGCTTGGCCCCAGACGACGCGGGCGAAGACGGGGGTGCCCCAGGCAAGGTTGTTGCCGGCGACGGCGAGGGAGAAGAGGGCCGAGGCGGCGGCGGGGGCGATGAGGCAGAGGAGGCCGAGGACGGCGGCGACGAAGACGCAGGCCCAGATGGTGCGGACGGGGATGTAGCCGAACGTTTTGCTCTGGGAAGCGTTAGTTGCGAGTACGAGGGAATACGGGAAAGGGAGTTTGAAGCGACCGAAGCGAGGACAAAAAAAAAAGAAAGAAAAAGTGTAGCGAGGACACGAGACGTACAATCTTGCGGAGGTAGCTGGAAAACGGCAGGGCGCCGTCGCGCGAAAACGCCCAGGCCTGGCGCGAGCCCGCGACGAGGATGGACAGGCCCATGAGGTACTGCACGATGAACAAAAACGACATGAAGCCGAGGGTGCCGCTCTTGCCGAGGGCGTCGTAGTAGATCTGGGCCATGGGCTGGCCGTAGACGCTGCCGAGCACGTTGTCGATGGCGGGGTCGATGCAGGCGGCGATGACAATGACGAGCACAAAGCCCAGCAGCCAGCACATGCCGATGGACGACAGGATGCCCAGCGGCACGGCCTTGGCGGCGTTGGACGCCTCCTCGGACATGTGCACGCAGGCGTCAAAGGAGCCAATGGTCCAGATGGGCGACAGCCACGCGAGCATAAACGTCCAGCCGCGGGGCCACGCGGCGAGGTTGTCGAGCGTCCCGAAGATGAAGCGCCCGTCGTTGACGCCGTGGGTACCCGCGCCCGCGCGCTTCAGGCCCACGGGCAGCGCAATGACGGTGGCCAGCATCAGGGCAATGTTCAGGCACACGGCCACCGTCTGCAGCTTGTTCATGACCTTGTTGAGCACTGACGCCAGCACGCCGTGCGTCAGCACAATGGCCAGGAACACGGCGTAGACCGTGCCGTTGGACGCCTCCCAGTCGCCGTCGCGGTGGATGACAAGCAGCGAGCAGAACATGAGGGCGCCGCCGTAGTCGATGCTGCAGAGCCCGCCGATCAGGCCCAGGCTGTTGCTGTAGCCGACGAGGAAGGACAGGTAGTTGCGCGTGCGCGGGCTCGCGTAGTAGTGCGTCCAGTAGTACAGGCCGCCGCTCGTCGGCATGGCGCTGCCCAGGTCGGCCATGGCCAGGCCCACGACAAAGATGCAGCCCGAGGCCACGAACCACGACCAGACCATGCCACCGGGCCCCGCCGGCAGCGAG